TACCTGCTGTATCCTGGAGAAAGCCATCTTCTTGACTGACCTGTGACAAAAGGGGAAAGTGGTCATGTTGGATTTGAAATTGCTCTTGCTTAATTTCTGATGACTCTGTTCTGTGCCTGTGTGTGTGCTTGTCTACATGATTCAGATATATATATAAACACACAGGCATTTTTATATACATATGAATTTTGTACATTATTTATATGATCAATAATATTTCATAGAGCATTTACTTGGAAATATGTTGGGATTTTTTGCTTTTCATTAGGAATCACCGCTCGTATAAGTGGTACATTAAGTCATTTTATTGCTGGAGACTTTCCGGAATTGTCTTCTATGTACCCATTTGGTTCTGAATTTTAAGAAAGTTAAAAGAAGTATTTTAATACAAATGTCTTCATTAACGATTAAACTAATTTCCTGCCCTTTAGCAGTGAAATTTGATCTTTAATATGACATATTTGATGTGCTTGTGATACAGAGGCACAGCTGATTGTTGATTGTGCCCTTATATAGTGTCTGTTCATGTACTTAATGATTTCTTCCCAAAATTGTTTCGCCATAAAGGAGAAAATAAGTGGATAAATTCAAAAGTGTTTCAGCTGTGTAATATGTCTATGTAGTAACATCATGTTAAAGAGATAATGCTATACTGTATGTCAGAAACATAACATGGTAAACCACATCATTCTGTTCTGTGTTCAGCAGCTTACAGACTGAGTCAAAGCAACATACTCATTTTTTCCAGATGGCTTTCAACTTATTTTTCTCTGATCAAATTATAATTAATGTTCTGTGTTTACCCTTCCTTATCCCTTTTTCTTTTAATTAGTTGATTTCTGAATGTTTCCCTTTATTCCTGTTGATCTTTCCTTCATAGCGGCACTGTCTCGGTGAAGCTTTGCATAAATCTATCAGCAATGTAAGTGATTTGCACTTACAGCTTGTGAACAGGGCATGCTTGCACTAATCAACCTGCATATCCTGCAGTACTGCTTTACAGCTTAAGCCCATGAAATGGGAGACGTGATAATATTTGGGAATATATGTGATAATAATATGAGAACATGTGCTGCTATCAAAAGCTCATATAGTGCATCCCCTCATCTGTGTGTGACTGTGTGCGTATCACTGGCATCAAACACTGTGTACGTGGTCATAACATCAGCAGTGTTTTTAAGTCATTGTTAACGCAAGCAAGCTTGTGGGCAGTGCAGACGTGTGTTGCAGAGCTTTCTACAAAGCATGGGATTGATGCTTTATTATAATTTGCAGTTTTGCAGTGTAAGTCATAATTGTAGCTAAACTATTCTTTCAATTTTTTTTTTTATTATTTTTTTTAATTCTCAGTGATGTTTTTAATGTGCTGGGACAAAAGTATTGAAAGTTCAGAGAATAGTGTTTAGAGCTCTTTTCTTTTGAATCCTTAGTACAGAGGTGTACAGAAAGATGACTAGTCATAAGACATACAAAAAGGGGCACTTATACTCTCAAAACGTGCTCTTAAGGATATCAGTCTATGCACTGAATAATCAAAATAGTATTTAAAATTACTTGCTCTTCTAAAAAGACTGTTATTTTAAACTTTTTTTTTGTGCTTTTCAACATCAAAACAAATTATTAGAAGGGTAGATTAATCTGACTTGCTTGCTAGAATCATTTAATCCTCATTGTCCTTTATTTTCTGTATAGTCTATTGATGCAAATAGACATCTCCAGACATTGACTCATTTCAGGCTGTGGTTTTGCAGTCACTTTAATCTGGTTGAAGGATGAACTGCTCTTGCTTATACTTGATCTCTTCGAAGATGGCTTCCTGCCTAGATGTCAGACTTCTCTTGTTCATCTCAATTAAAATGTTTTCTGCATTTCCAAGACAGAAATGAAAATAAAATTGTTTCGCCCTTGCCCATGCTCAACATATTTTTAAATTATATACTGGTAATTGGAGAATTATCAGAATTTGGAGCAGGAACTTAAGTGAGAGATAGATACAACTTCAAGCCCAAAATACATTTTTTCATGTTATTTTAATAAAAATTTGCCTAAGTTACCATGGTTGACTCCATTTGACTGTTAACATGAAAGACTTGTTAGAGTGTGATCATTAAATTACCTGAGGTTCTGCAGACCTGGGCAGGACTTCCCCTAAAATTGTACCTCCTGGTGGCCAGGGTGAACAGGACAGGACAATGATGAGGAACCTGACAGAAACATGGTCAAAGGGACAAGTAAGAATGGGCTTATCTATGAAGAGAAGGACCCGGTAGGTATGAGGTTACAGAAAGGTGGGAAGGAAAGAAGGTCCCAGTAGTGAACATGGGATGAATTAGAGTAGATGGGGATGTGAGTACCTCAAAGGAAAGTTTAGGTAAAATAGCTTATTTTTTTTTTTCCTGGAGAAGGAAGACAATAGCACATTGCAGTACAAGAAGATGATGCATATGTTAAAATTCAGAGCTGGCCATGCTGGCAGGTGCATGGTGCAAACTCACCACTTCAGTGGAGTGAGTTTCTAGGGGTGAAGAGAAAAAATACAGTATATATTATATCTAGATATTAAATTAATTGTTACCACTGTGAAGGTAGATTATCAGTAGAGTTACACTGATGCTGAAAATATTTTCTTTTACAGGTTGTTGAGAAATGAGTAAGGTAGGAAACTTTGCAGCTTATAAAAGCTTATTCATAATAGAATAACTGTCAAAGGCCAAGGGACTTGACAATAAAATGGCAGATGAAATCCAGTGTAGATAAATGCAAAATGATCCACAAGGAAAAAAAAACCGTAACTCTTTCTGTAAAATAATTAGCCTTACCTTGACCTGTTACAACTAGAAAGTAGTTTGGGGGACTATGATATATAATTCTATGAAAACGTCACCTCAGTGCTGAGTAGAAGTCTCAAAAGCAAATAAAAGTTTAGGAATATGGGAGAGAAACAGAGAACATAACATGTAAAACCATATAAATTCCTACATAAGAACAGAGTTTACTCTCATTTCAAATAACTTGTGCTGCTTTGGCTTCCTAATCTTAAAAAAAGAAATAGTAGAAAAGGGGTAAAAGTAGGAGAAATGTGATCATAGATGAGAAATAACTGTCATACAAGGAGCAACTCACTAAGCCAAAGCAGTTCAGAATGGCTAAGAGTGTAAGGAGGGAAATGATGGGGAGCTATAGAAACATGAGTAGAATACAGCAAATGAAAAGGGAACTTCTTTTGACTCGTTTCCATTACAAGTATTGAACATCATCATGTCAAATTATCATGTCTGCATGGAACTCCGCACAGGATATTGTGAATACTCAAAGCTTTTATGGAGTCAGATAATGGTTGTTATTATTTCTTATATTAATCTGCTCCAAAACACCACTTCTGGTTTAAGAAAGATTTCTAGTTCCAGGTAGACTACAGGGTCAAGCTCCCTGCATTTATGCTTGGCCTTTTTTTAGGGTAAACCTGGTTGGCCCTTTCTGGAGGCAAAAGCAGGGATCAGACAAAACTTTGGTCTGACACTGTACAATTTCTATGTGAAATTTATATTTAATGTATTTAGTAAAAGGTTCTTCAGAATGTAGTGTAGGCCTTCCCTACACTCCTTTAATTGTAGCTAATCTCTTTCAAAGATATCTGAATTACAATACTATTTATATAGTGCATGTGAAGATAGAGTGTATATTCCCAGATACAAAGACCTGTTGAACCTGAAATACAACGAGCTCTACTTATTTATTTTAAATTAGTTTGATTTTTGTTTTCTTTTGTTTTAGTGCTAATTTTTGTTTCTGTAGCTTTTTTCTTTCAAATCTGCTTAAGCTATGTCCTTCTGAAAAAGAAACATAACCCACATGTTTGGCAGTAATGTTCATGCTACAAGTTGTACTTGGTATGCTGCTATTAATTTTATGCTAAGTGGTGGATTAAATGTTCTCTAACTCAATAACTTGATGTGCAATGTCGTTACAAATTTGACATAATTAATTTTAAGATATGCTGAATCAAATGACACTATCAGACTTACATTTATAATTCCATATGATGTAATGCTCTGAGGCTTGAAAAGTATCCTTACTGATTCAAATTCTTTGTCACTTAGCAAATTTATTTTCCTTCATCTGAGTCATGGGAGCAAAATTCTCCTTTGATTAAATCTTGTTTCCAGAATTGGAGGGTATCTCTCATGTTTGGCTTTACAGGGAGTACAGGTTTAGTACTTTTAGTCTGTAAAGAATCTATGAAGAACAAAGTATAATACTATTATAAAAAGAAAACGGGTCTGAGAAAGGAATATAGTATACTATAATACTTGCTGGATGAAAAGCATTGTTTGTAAAATCAGGTATTTCTAAGAAAATGAATTATTTGTGATTCAGATTGTTTAGATCTTGGAAACATGCATATGCATAGAAATCACCCTCACAGTCTTACTGAACTAACAAAAAAGTGTGTGATTGGAAATCCATCAAGTGTTACTTTTTATTTGTGATGTTGAGTGGTACCATTTCTTTCTAAATGAGAAAACCACTAGTAGGAGCATAGCATACAAAATTATATAAAAATCAGTGTAGATGTCGCAGGCTATCCTCCCCTATTCCAAGTGCAAGATTATCCTTGCAGAACAGGTGTTCCCCTGAAGAGTAGTTTAACAATCAAGTCTTAATTTCAGACCTTGATAGTGTCATTTTTATTGATCTTTTATATAAAACCTAAATAATTTTTGATGATTTGACCATTAAATATTGTGTTACAGGTAGTGTTGCAGTATGAGCTAACCAATATGATGACTCTTACAAACCCACTAAAATGTTATTATATCTCTGATTATGTATCATAGAACATTAACAACAAATTGAGTAGATGGATGACATTGCTTGTCTGTCTTTTAGCTAACGCTCTGGCTCTAAAATTTCAAATGTTTTCTTCTTCTGAATGTCTTCTTTACAGCTGATGTTAGTATTAATGACTAATGAATATTTGCTATTCTGTTGTGGATTAGATCTCCTTACTGAAGCAGAATCTGGAGATGCAGCTTTCCCAGTCACAGAGCTCTTTGCAACAGCTGCAAGCCCAGTTCAGTCAGGAGCGACAGAGACTGACTCAGGAGATCCAGGAATTAGAAGAAGAGCATCAGCAAAGGCATAAGTCACTTCAGGAAGCCCATATCCTTGCCTTTCAAAACATGGAAGAAACAAAAGAGCAAGAACAAAAGGCATGTTCATTTGGTTATTCCAAATTCTGTAGAGAATATTGCTATTTTAGCATTTTACATATACAGTTGGAATTAGTAAAGAAAGTATCTGTATAACCACTAAATTTCCTTTTCAGCTGATGTATTGCAGCAGTACTGTTATCCAGTTAAACCTGAACAAGATATATTGAAAATATTTTCTAATACTGGCATTGGTTCATGTCTTGCTTTATATGCACGTTTATAGATGTGTATGTGTGTGTGTGTAATGTAAAATTATTATCAATACATGCATTTCTTTATGGTACATTGACATTGTTACCCTTAATATTATATTCTTTTGTTTTGTTTTTTGAGTAGGAATTTTCCATTATAGCTAATTTTGCATGTTTTTTCTGTCAATAGACTCCTTTGAAATATTATTTTATATTTTCCATATGTAAAAAATTGTGTTAGCTATGTTCTGTGACTTGCAAGATAATTTTCATGCCCCACCCAAGATACTCTTTTTTAAAACCTTGACAAAACCAGCTTTAAAATTGGAATTTTGGTAATTCATGGTACTTAATTGGGGGCGGGGGATTTCTTAAGGTTTTTTGAGTTCAGCTCCAGAGTGTGACTTTGCAATCAGCTTTCCCACTATGTGCCCAGAATATCAGAAGATGTTTACCAGGAACATTATGCTTCATACAATTCCATAGGGAGTAAACATGGGTGTCCTTAGGGAAGAAGAAGTCCCCAGATGTGTGCACACTAAGCCCATCTATGAATCTGCACCTTAATTACATTGCGTGCTGTTGTAGATATATCCATGGATTGATTTTTTTCTCTTTTCCAGCTGTGAGCCAAATGGGTTTTGTGTACAGGTAATACTGGCAACCACTGAAAAGAAAAAATATGTTAGAAGGATAAGAAAATATGAGTAATACTAGTGTGTTTTTTCTAGAGTATGTCAATGCCTGCTTTTTGTTTCCAGTTGGTTATTGTGGAATGTTTTATAAATTCTCTAAGTTGGTGTAGAACAACTTTCGTCAATTTTGATTTCATAGGAGTTAGAAGAACGTTTACAACAGAAGCACTCAGAAGAACTTCATGCACTGAAAGAAACACATAAACAAGCCATGGAAGGCTTTAAATTGGAGATGGAACAGGAACTTCAGACTCTACGATTTGAGCTAGAGGATGAAGGAAAAGCTATGTTAGGTATACTATTTTCAAATTTGAAAATGGGTCCAAAACCATTATTTCTACTCATGCAAATATACATGCATGTGTGTGTATATTATAACACTGTAGTGTCTCTCTGAGTCATTCAGTGTTGACCTAAGTGTTCCTCTTAAAATCACTATGAGCTTTAACATGTAAGCCTAGACTCTTCACTTTCAAAATATCTCACCCTTAAGGCTCTTTTGGAAAGAGTAAGCCACCAGAGTTCCTGATGGAGAACTGATACTTTCAGAAAGCAACAGAATAAAATACAGGACAGTTACTTAGCTGATGTAAAGTGTATTTTAGGTCAGCAGCAATACTAGATGCTGACTAGTTACCGTTAATTAATGTAAACATGTCCAAATTAAACTTTTCTCTTTGTTCATGGTAACCAGCTTCCTTGCGCTCAGAGCTCAACCACCAACATGCAGCAGCAATTGACCAGCTGAGGCACAACCATCAACAAGAACTGGTAGCTGCCAAAATGGAGCTTGAAAGAAGCATAGAAATTGGCAGGCGACAGGTAGGAGGCGTGGTTGGCAACTGGCTGTAAAATAACATGATTGATATTAATTTTTCCCTTCTGCTGGAGGCAAGAACTGTTGTGAACAAGTAACAAACATGTAGTCCTTCAAAATCATCCAGCACCCAGCAGCTAATGCATTCCTACCAGTTTCCTCAACTTTCTTGCTTAGCTTTTTCTGCCTTCTATAAACCTTATTGAAAGCCTAAAAAGGCTCCCACATCTGGGTAGTTTCCTCTCAGAACTGTGCAGCCATCTGGGAGCTCCTTGGCTTGCCATGGGAGGCAAGTGCCCATTCTTGCAAGATTGTACTCGTTCTCGTCTGCCAGCAGGATGGAAAAAGCTGTTTCTCTTTGAAGCCTAAGAGATATGGTAAATGAAGTGGCTGCTTATAATCAAATGATTTCTTCAAACTGAAGAAAAAAGTACACAAAAAAACCCCACCAAAACCAAACCCCCAAAGCCAGTGTGAACTACCTGTGCTTTCAGTAGCAAACTTATTAATTCACCTTTTATCTTTCATTTTATACACAATTAGTTTTTCTAATAGTAGCTAAAAATTCAAAGTTTAAGCTCTATTGAAAGCCAGACTCCTGGAAATAAGAAGACTGGAAAATTACTTCTTTATTTGCCTTTTTAGTAGGTTTTCAAGACTGATTTACTGATACTCCAGCACCAAAGAGGAGGAGTCAGTTTAGAAATATATTAACGGAGGAAACAGGGTTTGTTGGATGCAGCCTTTATGCAAAAACAGAGATAGTTGAAGTTTTTTAGCTATTCCTTGCTGGTTTAACATTGTGAGTACCAGAGACAAAAACATGGTGCTGTCATGCAGGATTTAGGAGGATATAGTTTCAGTCAAGTGTTGTTTAAGCCCTGACACCTAAATGAGATGTCAGAAAAAAAAGTTTCAATTATACGAGCTGGTGTTTGATCCAACCCAACAGGTGTACTTTTTGCCTCAGTATAATGATCTGCTAAACAGGAGCTTTGGTTGTACTGAGGGCAAAGCAGTTACTGAGGGCAAAGCAGTTACTGAGGTTTCCTGTGCTAGAATGCTCATCAGTTCACAGGATCGGGGTTGAATGAGATGGAGTAGTCTGATCAGGATGATTATATTTGCTACTTTTTGAAATATTTATATGTGTGGATGTAAGTTTTTCCTCTGCTTTTTCTTGTAACTTTAACACAGTCTTTATACAGGGAGATACATCTTTACTTTTAACTGTCTGCTCTTAAACATGCCCTGTGAAATTTGTGCACTAGGATATATTTGTATTTCCTAGAGGTAGGAAGGCATAAAACACAGTTATACACAAAACTACTTTGGAATATCTGCTGATTTTCTCTGTGCATACTATATGGTCATTAATTATTGTGAAACTGTAAGGAGTGGAATAGATGAAAGTAGAAAACTCTGAACAAGTTGTTTTCATTACAGACATTTCTAAACCAAGGAGACTCATTACCAAAGCCATTGGAACGGGCTCCAGCTGAGTTTACCAGTTATTAACTTCATTGGAATTTCTTATGCAAAAAAAACCAAACAAACAAACTTTTCTTGATTTATTGGACACAATATAAATAGAACTTTAGCTATTTAACTATTCTGCTGTAAAATATTTATGACCTTTGTATATATTTGTAAGATAGGAGACTTCTGAGTCAGTTTTTGTTTGTGCAGGGCATACATATTGAGCAATTTTCTCCCATTCAATGGGGTTGTAAGGGAAAAGAAAAGAAGAGGAGGTGAAATACCAAGGCCCTGGACCTTAGTGATACACAGTTTTTAATTTCTTGCATGTGTGGACAAAAGGAAAATGTGATGAGCTACACCAATTTTAACAGGCAGTGATAATCGTGGGTTTTAACTTTTCTTGCAAGTAGAAATCATTTGTTACGTAACTCTGATTTCTTCTTTCTTTGTACTTGTACACAATAAAAAAGCCCTTTGCTTGTATTATAATTTGTGTCAGCATCAAAAACTGAAAGAATTGTCTATTGGATGGAAAATTCTGCTCAGCTGTTGTCTTCCAAAAGCAAGTATTGTAGGCATCACCTCTGAGAAACAAGTCTATCTAAAATATTTTTTGCTGCTGCTACTTATATCATAGGAAAAAGAATTTTTATGCCGAATATCAGATCTACAAGATGAGCTGAGACACCGAGACCATCATATAGCTGAACTGGACAAAGAGATTCTGCATCTTCATGAAAATATAAGTGCATTGACAAAGGAATTAGAGTTTAAAGGGAAAGAAATTCTTAGAATACACAGTGAATCAAACCAACAGATCAGGTATGAATTTTTCCAATCTAAATTCACACCTGTATTATTTCACTTACTTTCACTCATTGTTTTAGCAGTTTTAAACTTATCCTCTTAATAAAGTCATGTTGCGTATCATTTAGCATTCTCTAGTAAACCTATGCACTTTTCTGGTGAAGTTAGTGACTATGCTGTGCAGTTAAGTGGCATTTCAGTGACATATTTTGGCATATTTTAGTAGCAGTTCACTTAAGTGTTGGTTTTTGGTGTTTTCTTTTTTTAAATTCATTGTTTGTTTATTTTAAAAAGCATTAAAGGAGATGCATTTTCCATGAAATAAGCTAGAAGATTGGAGAACAGTAAGTAGTAGGCTTTGTTGAATCAGTAATTCCTTCTGTGTTGTCCGATATTATGTAAAAGCCATTAGAAGCATGGCAGAAAATCATGATGACAAAAAGTCTGATTTTAGAATAACTCTTTTTTAACAAAAACTAAATTAAACAGGATGCATGAGCAAGATTTAAGCAAGAAACATGAGACAGAGCTGGATGTCTTGACAGCAGATCACATCAGAGAGAAACAAAGCATGCTGGCAGATTTTAATAAGACCCAAGAGCTTCTCAAGGAAATTAATTCAGCTTTACAAATTTCGTAAGTTTTGTTGCATTAAAAAAAATTGTATGTAGCTGCATTTGAGTGAATAGTTTATTCTGGTGTTCATAAGTTCCAGAAGATACTGCAGAGATGAAGTTGTACAGATACTTCAAAAAAGTATGGGGGCTAATCTTGTATTCTTTAGGCAACGTGATTCTGTGATCTTTAGAGGAGTGTTGTGAGGTAAACTGTTACAGGTTTGAGACCAAAAAATTTCAGGTAGAAAAGATTAAATCTGTGCAGTTCCTAGAAAACCAGAGAAAATATTATTTCAAATGGTTCCTTTCTCAAACTTTAGTATATCTTTTTTGAGAACACAAGAATTTCTTCAACAAGTTTATAAACAGTACAATATTTGCTACTACTAAGAAGGGAGACTGTAGCACGAGTGATGGAAACATTTTCAGGTTTGGTAGCGTAAGGAAAATTAGTGTCTGAAATGGATTGTATGAGCATAAGAGTAACAGAAGGCTTAAGAGTTGTCTGAATCAAAATGCCACCAAGGATTAGCCTACCTAACGGTGGCAGAAGTGATGTAATAGTGTGTCACCAACCAGTGTTTTCCTGTCTTCCACATCCTTCATTCTCTGTCTCTGTGGTGTTAACCATTTGGTCAGTTTCTGGCTCAAGTTTCATAGAACATTGAGGGCTTCCTGCCACAAAGTTGTCATTAAGGGATTTGTATTTGCGGCACGGAAGATTTATGACAGAGATAAGAAATTGGTTCTAAGTTTTTGATAGAAAGTATCAGTTACAAATGGACAGTAAAGCCAATAGGCATCTAGCTTTTTCTGGATTATGAGCCCTCAGAAATGGTCTTCAAATAAAATGGTTATAAAATTCTAGTTTTCACCCCCTTGTAATTGTCCACATGCATGCACTTATGCCCTAATAAATGTGGTACCTTGCTGTTCAGTAAATTAGGTGTTAGCTACCTCCTGTTTGCTGCATTTATCTTGGATGAGAAACGGTCTTAGGAGCAGCCACCAGCAGTGTTTTGGAACTGTTTACCCTAAATGTTTTCTGCATTAAATTGTTTGCTTCTCAATGTCAGGGAGTTTTCTGAATTTAGCTGGTTTTCTGCTCCTCACTCTGGCTCAATTTAGAGCTTTGAAGAAGCAGACACTGACCTAAAATCAGCAAGCATCATCCAGCATGCCCTGACCTGGCTTTCAGTGTGTTATTTCTCTATTTACACTGAAACAAGAAGCTGTCCAATGAGGAAACTATAAAAACAAAAACCGAAACAAAACCCAAAACCACACACATACCCACCACCAACCCAGAGAAGTTTTATGCAGCTGTTTCTTAAGTAACTGTTCTTAGGTTCAGCCTCACCTAAAGCGTGGCCTCATGAATGTTTGTGAAATGGACAATCTGTCTTGGAAAAATTGAGAGTGGGTGTCATTAATTAGGCTCTACAACTGTTCACTCCAAGACAACAACTAAAGTCTTTAAATTACAAATCTATTTGAAACAGAAAAAAAACCCCAGTTCTCTGATGTATCTGAAAATAAAATGACAGCTGTGTGTAACTATATACTATACTCTGGGGATCTATGTATGATAGCTTAACCCAGAATAAAAACAGCTATTTCTGTTCTGCTGAGTCAAATGCCTTCTCTGCAAGTAAAAACAATCATGTTGTTCTTATTAATATTGTTTTATGTAAATACATTATATAATCTCAGAATATGTACAGGTTACTTGAAGGTTATTAAATTATCAGTATAATTTAATATTAACTGCTTTTTCAGCTGCAAATCAAAGTAAAAATCTTATAGTTGCTTTTGAAGAGAAAATATTTATCTGAAGTGAAAAATTATGTCTACTTCCAAGTGTCTACAGTTTGCTTAATTCTTGTGGAATTAAGCTTGACCTGATTTAGATTCAATTTAATTCACAGATTTCTCTCAGCATTTGATTGGGATTTCTTTTTTAAGTTTGTTAAATTTCCTGAATCTGTTCTGATACTTGGTTCACTAATCTACATGAGGGATGAAAATGTGAGAGACATATTTTAGTACTTTCCTTTGAAACTATATTTAGCATCATGAGCATGTTATTAGTTTAAAGGAGACACAATAGTTTGAAACTGTCATGTCTTCAAAACTTTTTCTTTAAGAAAAAGAGATATTTACGCAGTTATTTGTACAATTCCTTTCTCAGTTGGCTTATTTCACTTCTCTCCTTTAATGCTTTCCCACCAGGCATTTCCAATTTCCTCTTAGATTTTCTTTTCAAATGTTTACCAATTGTTACATTAGATATCCTAATATCCAAGTGTTATTCCTTTTGTTTTGCAGCTCATTCCTTTATTTCTCTGATGGTACTAAGTAGCTTTTGTGGAGAGGAGTTAGTTACCTATTAGTCTTCAATGTTCTTCATTATCTTCTGTTACAGTATGTTTCACGAGCTGAGGAAGACCCTGTGGTTTTGAATGCCTTATTTTTAGCCTGACTTACAAGTGGCCTGTTTCAAAAATGCAGTAGTGCATGCACAGGAAGGATGTTAAGTTTTTAGAATGTTCACTGGATTATTAGTTGCTGGAGCAAAAATTACGGTCGTTGGGGTTTTTTTGTTTGTTTTGTTTCTTAACTATCTAAAGTGGAAGGAGAACATAGAAATTAATTTCCTTCAATGTGGTAAGAAAGTCATCCTCTGTTTTTACTCCCTGAACTCTCTTTTGTACTTCTCAAAAATGTGACTATTCACTTATCATTTAACACTGAATCAGGCTAAAGGGGATATTCTTCTTTTCTATAAAGTTTAGAAGAAATGGAAGAAAAATATAAAAACAGAGAATCAAGACCAGAAGACTTGCAGCTTATCTCAGAACTGAAAGACCTAATTGCAGAGCGGGACCAACTCATAAAGAAATTGATTGTAAGACTTCTATGCTCTCTTGGTGTAATATCTTGAAAAATACAAAAGTTAATCTGATTCAAAGTGTTTGAAATGTATTTAAATAACGAGTCCTGCTAGCATGTTATTCATACACTTTGACACATTATTCCTCTTGTTTCAATGACCCACAATAGTAAATCTAATGAGATAAGAGAGTGTTTTCCAAAATCAAGCAAAATACATTATTACGAAATATTTTGATATGTCCTTTATCAGATGTCTCCTTCCTCCAATCCTGGGACAAGCCAGCCATGTAAGCCATATAAGATATAGTTTCTTCTGTGAGGTATCTAAGACCAAGATCTTGACCCACTGAGCTTCCCAAATACAGAGCACAACACCCTGACTTGGGTTAGTCTGATTAGATCCCAATTAAGAAGCAAGAAAGAATGAGGAAATCAAAATTGATTAAAGATCAGGATTTAACTATACCGAGTCTTTTACAGTACATAATCCATTAGGCTGTGCTCACTCTCAGGACCATAGAACTGCATAAATAGAAATTACTTTGATTCTTCCATATAATAATATATAAACATGAGATGCAATTTTTAGAATTACCAGTTCATTTTAAAATGTAAGCATAAATTTATTTGAGAACATTATACAGGCAGATTTGGCCACTATCTGATTGAAAATGCATAAAAAGGAGTTTCTATCTGTTGTTCTTTTTAGGAGGACAAAAAGTTCTATCAGCTGGAGCTAGTAAACAGGGAGACTAACTACAACAAAATGTTTAATGCAAGCCCTAATGTTGGTGTTATTAATCCATTGGTGAAGGTATGTTCCATGGACTTCATTGCTAAAGTAAAGAAAAAGAAATCTAAAGATAATAGTAAAAAAGAAATCTAAAGATAATAGTAAAAATAAAAGATATGTGTTTGTGTGTGTGCCTGCATCTATACATAACTCACTCTTAACAGAGATGTTCAAAACAAGGAACATAGTTTTCCATTTGTCTACTTTTTTGTGTAGTTTTGTTTCTTTCATGTTGTTGAGAGATCCACTGATGCTGTTGCCCTGGTTTGCTTGACTTGTGTGACAAAACACAGCTCCTTATCACAAAACTGTAAATTTAAAATGGAAAAGTGACAGAAAGGCCATAGAGGGCAGAACTGTATCATGTGACAGAGAACAGTGACACCCCTAAGTGGTTTAAGTTTTGAGATTTTTCTTGGTTATTATTGAAAGTGCAAGGGCACTTTGTACTTTTTGGGAAGTGCTCATGGTGGAAGAGCATTAGAAAGACGGAGAGGGGACAGTAAAAGGAAGGGAATAATGGTAAAAAGGGGAAGAGGAAGCATGTGAGAAGGGTGTGGAATGAGTTTGAAGGGGGAAAGACGTAGAGTAAGATTGGAGAAGTGGAATGGCAAACCAGTATGAACAGTGGAGGCTGAAGCCAGTCATTGGCCTTCTCAGTTATTGTCACCACCTATATAAGTGAAAGCACTTCAGTAGCAACCTTTACCACTTCTCTCCATTATGCTAAATAGCAGCCAGGGAAGGCTACTGTACACACAGGCGTAGTAGCCTTCCTGCAACTTCAAAAGCCAGCAGCGTTCCTACTTGAGGAATGTGAATAGACTGTGGTAGAGTACCTAAATACTGTTCCTTTTCACCACTTCAGGAGTTGAGTCCTCTTTGTGATTACCCATAGGTTATTTTGTTTGCATGGAAGGGGAAGAGTTTATGCCAGCTGTAGAGACAGAAGTTGAGAAGGTTCTGAAGCAGAGGCTAAAACCCAAGGGGCACAACCTGAGCAGACCAGATGCTCAAGAGCTTCAGTGATTGAGGTTCAGGCTCAGGTTATTTAAAAGGAGGTCTGGCTCCATTATTTGAGATTAGGTGGATTTTTATGCAGCCTTACTGCAGTTTCACATCAGATCAGCATATTTTACACCTCTGCACCAACTCTGCTGCAAAATGTCAGTATTCTCCTATCATCTTCATGAGCCCAGCAGGTCTCCCAAGCTGATTTTTATGATTTTTATGATGCCTGATTTTTATGCTAACTGCATAAAATAAATTAGTTTGGGCCCATTAGAGACAATACCAGGACTTCCAGATACAGTTTCAATGATTGTTTGAAAATGTTGGAAGTCTGTCTGAACTACCCATTTATAAAGATGTAAAAGGTATATATAACCTTACATTTTGTGTGAAATTTGAAGATTTTGGGAAAAGTACTTCAGCATCAGATTTCCATAGTGATAATTTGTATATTTTTATAATATGCTTCTATCACTTAAAATGTTTAGACTCTAAAAATGTCTTGTATGCCAGAACATTCTGATCTTTCATTTCACGAGTTGTGGACTGTGTTACTTTATTTTGTCGAAGCACGTACTGTGTTATTGGAGAATGAATTACAAAGAAACTGAAAATCTCATTCTCTTTTCTTTTTTTGTAAAAAAAAAAGACAGAAGTTATGAGTTACTACGGGCCTTGCATGTTAATGCAAAATTACAGCCATTGCAGTGTTAGTTTCTGTAATTTCTGCAATGTGTCTGTTTAATATAGTATTACATTCTTACATCTGAAGTTTCTTAATACTTTGCATGAATTTCATGGAAACAATACAGTTTTCTCTCTCCAGATTTGACTGCTTCAGAAACATAGATTGTTTTATAGAGAATATTATATAAATCATATTTTTCTAAGCACTTATATGGATAACATACATTTTCCAGAAATGAGCCACCTCTGGAGCACACAGATTTAACTACAGTTTAACGCACTGTTTTAATTACAGCATATATTGTCTTGCAAGTGTATTTTACATGCAGTTGGTTACTTTCACCAAACTGTTTCTTCTTATTTCTTGTTTCTTCAGCTACTATAGTAGACATGTATGGGACAATCTTAAGTTAATTCTTTGTAGTTGATGATCATTCACTCTGATGCTTAAAACTCACTTTTTTTCTATTATAGTTTTCTGTTAAATTGTCAGGGTATTTTAATTGCATGTTGACAAACACACCCAAGATTATGTGTCTGCAATTAGTATCATTTGCATCTGCCAACCCTGGAGAGGCTAGGCACTGAAATCAAAGCTAGCAGACAGCCTGAGAGAAGAAAGTGCAAACGAACAATAGGACTGTCTCCAGCTGAATTCCTGCCCACCCTCGGATAGAGCAGCTCTCCTGTTTCAGGTGGAATTCTGCTGGCAATTATATAGAAACAACATGAGATTCCACTTGTCTTTCACTTTATTTAGTTCAAATATATGTAGCTAATAAGCCGTAAAGGTTTTTTTTCCTAGCTGATTTGTTAGGGTAGCATATAGGTAATTAAAAGACATTATTTATTATATGCTCAAATAATACATAATTCATTGTATTTTGGAGCTAGGGATTATTTTATTACTCTGGGTACGTCAAAAACTCCTATTTTTGGAAATAAGGTGCTTTGAGTTTTAGTATTTAGTATTTATATTGTGGACATGAAAAATATGATAGAAGTCAGGAAATACACACCATGTCCTGTCAGACAGCCATTTAAAAGAAAAGTGATAGAATTATTTGAAACGTCCTTCCGCAATAAAATATCTATAAAAACAGGGAGGATCACTGATTCCCTTGCATGATGTGTTCTGGAATGCAAAATAGTGATATAAAAATGATTTCCTAAATATTTTGAGTCCCTTGAAATAATATCAAGAGAAGTACTGAGAGTATTGTAAAAAAAACAAACGTTCAGTTGTGCCATCTGGTGTCTAGAAGTGGCAGCTGTATTAGCATCAAAGCCAGGCCTTTTCTTTGTGCAAGAAACTGGATTCCTGTACAGTAACATTTTTATCTTCTATATTTCTGTATTTCTATAATGCTTTGCTGACTGAGAGGGTGAAGAGCTGTGAAGGAAGTGTAGGTGCTTTTCTAGGTTTCATGGTCCAGTAATCAAAATGTGCCTCAGTGATGGAGTGAAATGTGTTGGAGAGACTAATTTTTTTTATCATTTAAATTTGATGTAATTGCATTTGATAGCAGAGCTGTTTCACAGATATGAAGAAAAGATTTAAGTAAACATGAAAAGTTTACAGACTGAAAGGAAATTTTCCACAAGATTGTTAAAATAGAACCAATACATGTTCCAATAGAACCGATGTTTCAATATAACCAAAATGTTACATTGAAAGATTATATACTCATGTGATATACTCATTGATTATTACACTAAATCATAAAAACTTACTCATTTTGATTAGAAATTTGATTTTTCTGTGAAAATTTGTGGTGTTCAGGTCAAAGCAAAGAGAAAACTACAATTGGGAAAAGAGCCCAATCTGTCCTAATTCCACTCCTTCAAAAAAACTTCAAACCAGCCATCAATAAAACTTAAATTAGGAAATGTCCTCCTCATCTGTCCTGGTGCAAGAAGCCTTCCTTACGTTTGTTATTTTCAATGCAGCAAAAGAAGAAGAACGATAAATCAACAAACAGGTTTGTGAGTGTGCCCAATCTAAGTGCTCTGGAATCTAGCGGAGTGGTGGGCAATGGACATCCAAACCGCCTGGACCCCAGTCCTAACTCACCCATCCACGATATTGAGTTCAACAGCAGCAAACCACTACCACAGCCAATGCCACCCAAAGAGCCCAAGACGTTTTTGAGGTGAGCACTGCCTCACCAATATTTTTTTTTTTTTGCTTAACTTCGGAAAATTTTGCATTCTTATTGAGCTGAATCCCACTTGCTTTATCAGCCTTTCAGAGGTACAAGTACTCTTACAGCATTTTTAATTTTTACATTATAATTATAACCTCTTTATAGTATTCCTTTTTATTGTAGACCTTGTTGAAATGTGAAGTATTCTCTCACTTTTTCCTAAGCCTTGAACTTTGAAAACCTTTATAAATACCTTAACAGAATTCATGTGCTTCCAATTGTTTACATATATGAACAATTGTTTTAGATGTTTGTGTTATTTACTGATATTCATTCAGAAATTGATACTAGCACGGAGGTTTTTTTATTTAGTATTATGTGATAAATATTTTTATGTAAGAAAATTCTTTTCCGTGCTAGGTGAATGTTTTGTGTTTCCTCTTTCCTCACCTATACGAAATTGTTCATAAGAGTAGCCCTACTACAGCAACAGGAAATGTACAGGCTTGGGTGCTTAATGCTGAGCTTCCAGTAATCAAAACCAGCATAAAGTCTCAAGTAATTCTCTCACAAAATAATCTACTGAATTGAATAACTTAAAAATGGCATTTTAGAGGCAGAATTTTAATCTTTTATCTTGATATGCCCACATATTAAATGCACTGAAGTTCAGTACTTGGTATCTAGTAGGTGCTGATCTCTTACCTCTAAGATGCCAACTTAAAGTAAAATGTAAAGCAACTGGTTCCACAGCTGGTTGTTTGCTCTCTCCTTTGGTTTAATGCAAAAGATCACATACCTAGCAACTGCTAACTATAAAGGGAAACAAATAATAGAATTTAAAATAGATAAGGGAAAACAATGTTTTTCAAGAAAACCTTTTTTTTTTAAAAAAAAGTACTGTTGCTATTTTTTTTCCTGTGCATGTTATGTGCATGAATATGCTCAGGTATCTATAAACATGCATGTGCATGACCCCATGGACTGTGATGCTGGAGTTTTGACTCCAAATTGTTTTGTGCTCTGTATTATCCTATAGTAGAGATTATTTAATTCTTTCAGTTATTTAATTACCAATTTTTACTGATAAAGGAACTTGTGTAATTAAATTTAAATTATTCTTTCCTGCTCATTTTGTGAGAATGTTAAGTGTTCAAACAGGAGCCAAATGCTGCTTGCAGCACAGCAGTTTGTTTTTTCTAGTATCTTGGCATATTTTAGGTGTGTGCATGAACAAGTGCAAGTAATATTTGTGATGGGTATTAATTATTACAGAAGTGTGTATTTCTGTTCAGTTGCCAGCCAGTCTTTGTGAGCACATGTCTATAAATATGATGTTCGCATCATATTTTTTTAAAATTACCACAGGAAAAGGATGCTAAAAGAGGACCTTCTACAGTCATGCTTTTCCAAGAAAACTCTTTTTATTCTTCCTGAAAACTACAGCTATTTATGAGACTTAAAATTATGTTTTCCAAAATATTATTTTCCCACCCTTATAATGTGGCTTCTGAACTGACTTGTGCTGCTGATGCTCTCCAATGGAGTGGATGATCACAGATTCTATAGGGAGACATTAAATCACCTCCTAAGGCACACTGATAATTATTCCATGGAAAAACAGACTGTGTTCCTTACTGAATATTCTCTGTGGTTTGTTTTTCTTTCTCTTCTCCTAACAGTTGTACTTTTCATGTAGTTGTAGGATAATTGTTTTTTTTTTTTTCTTTTTGTGAATTTAGCCCTCCTCAGACTGATGCCTCACCAGTGGCTTCACCAGACCCACAACGCCAGGAGTGGTTTGCCCGATACTTTACATTCTGAGAGATGATTTGTTTTTGTGGCACAGTGTGATGTGGACTGTTTATAAGAGCATGACCTTAAGTAAACCCTCATGTGAACAAGCTTTTCTGTAATTTGTCAAACACTGTGAATGAGAAAGTATTTGTCTTTCTGATTTAAAACTGCACTGTATTTCATGTTATATTTGTTGGAATCACCTGACATGGTACTATACAATATGTGTAATTATAACTATTATTTTTATTTAAAATGGAAGAATCTTTAAACTTTGTAATTACTACATAATAAATTTTGGTAGAACAAACATAATGCTTTCCCCCTTTTTCCTATAAATGTGTTTTCTTTGATTTCAGGTAAGGCTTTTCCTCCCAAATAACATAATTGCATGGTTACTATAAATACAACTTGAATTGTAAAAGGAAAAATATATATCTCTCACTCTCTCCAATTTGGGTGGGATATGTCTAATGAATCCCACTTCAGTTACTTTGTAGCAGTTTAAAAACCTCTGGCTAACATTTAAAAGGAAGAATGCTAAATAAAACTAGCGTAGCTGCTGGCCTTCAGAGCAGCTGGATTCTGATAGATGAAAAAAGCCACAAACCAGGAGCTGTTCAATGGGGAGAGGGGTTGACTCCTCACCTATTGCTTATGAGACTTCACCATCTAGTTATAATAAAAGATTTTATCATTGCATTTAAGCAGAAAATGTTCCCACAGGTTCTATATTTCTTTTATGAATATTAACAAAAACAAATGGTTGAAATATTTAGAAAACTGTTCTAGGTATCTCTGTGTAAATCAAGAATCTACATTTTGAGCATATAGTCTTGTGTTGGATAAAATTCATGTCTGAAATGAAAGAAAAAGAAGCCACAAACAAACAAAAACCAACTACACCACTTTTTCCCAAAAATGCATACTACAGATACAGATCTTTCATTAAAACTTAGTTACCTTCCCTTGTCTATATTAAATTTTTTTCTTCTTCTTAAAGTGATATATGAAACTGTTTTTCAGCTAGTGAGCATGATTCCCCAATCTATACCTTTTATGATGTCGGTGTTGCTCAAGAAATCTGTTGCAGCATAGAGAAAAAACAGTTTGTCTTTTTTATATTTTTTCATTCAAAGATTACCACAAATTAACTCACACTGGTAGTCTCAGGGAGAATATTGTCTTTGTTTTATGAATGTATTTTTAAGCTGAATCTCTTATCTTTTAAAAGCAGGAAAAAATATGTTTGAGTTATTTGAATAAGGTTCTAGTTAGCATATACAAAGGTCTTGAACTTTAATATTTCATCTAAAGCCCTAACTGCATCCTTTTTTTGCTATATGCACAAAGGTAAATACCCAGATGAAGATACTTGCTAATTACAATGAGTTTTATATGTATTATATGTATAAATGAAAAATTTGTATGTTTTCATAGAAATAATATAAAAAACTTCTAAATGCACATTTAAAAACTTCTATCATATAATTCACCTTGAAAACACCACTGAAAGCTGTATTCTGGTGATGCTGCCATGGATTTAAAATGTATACATCAGATTTTCTGTAGCTGGTGGACTCAACTGTAGGTATATGCAACTTTTTAAATTTAGAAGAAAGCCATATTGGGCAAAATGTCAGATTTCTTGGCTGTTACCCAAAATAAAATTCACTAGATCATTTTGTTACCATCTTCTGAAGTGAGTGTTGTGTATTTTTTCTTGCATGCTTTGCAAGGGATCAGCTGCCTTCTCCCATCCTCAACTTCATTTGTGCATTTTCACATATGGAATGAATAACTGAACAGGAATATGGAGATAATGATCCCTATTTACCTGTTCGGTGAAAGGTGTGCCCATTGGTTTTTTACTCGTAGGCATCTGAATGTTAAGAAGCACTCAGTTACCATGTCTGCCACAGTCAGCAGCTGTACCACTGCCTTATTAGTCTCCTCAAAAACCAGCCAAAAAAAAAGTTCCAAAACCAACCGAAAATAAAATACCCAAAAAACAACCAGAGGAAACTAGGAAAAATTCTATTTTCTACCAAATGGCATTAAGAATTCTGTAAAATGTATTTTTAAAAGAAGTCAGTATCTGGCTTTTGGGACTAAGGAACTTGCATGATGACTATGCCATTGTAATCCTGACCTTTGCACTATCTGGTATTCTGGAAAAAGCTAAAAGTGCATGGATTCATGAGCTCATAGGCAGCCTCAGCCTCTGCTGCCAGGGGACACACTTCAGGGTATAGTCTGGAGCCCAAGTTTTACATCCACATGAACATCTAACCATATTCATGCCGCCTGGTCTAAGTTTTTCTTTAACCTGTGGGATCCGTGAGCCCTTCTCAGCTCTTGTGCAGCCTTGCTGGCAGTGTCCAAATTGCACACTGTACCACCACTATTAATGGGCAGTTCTTGTACTCTCCTGGAACAAACCCAGATTGAGGGCACACATTCTGTAAAACCAGAAACCAGCAGCTTCAAGTCTTTGTTTTCATAACCACACAAGCCTATCAGGAGGGACCTGAAAGCAAAAACAGTAAAAGTATATGGTTTATATAAGAAAGCCATTATTCCAAGTGGAAAGTAGAGCAGAAACCAGGCAAATGTTCCGAGCCCAGGACGAGAGAGCTTTTCAGGCTGCTGTCTCCATCCACTCATTTGAAACAATTACTTTTTCCACGATTTTGAAAGAGGCTATCTCAGATTTTCTGAAGGGCCTAATATATTTTTTGATAACTTCATGTTGAATGAGCATTTCTTCATTACTTAGCTAAGCACGTAGCAGTTACTAGTTACTATTCGATAATAGCAAGTTGATAAATAACTTGAGTTTTTTCTTGTAGGAGCCACTACCTGATCATAGCCTTTACGTACCAACATCTGCTACTTGCTCTGTAGTTGAAAAATCAGCTGCCCCAGTTACAGGCAGCTGCACTGGTTTTCATACTGCTACACTGGTTGTTTAGGCTACAAATGCAGTCTGAGGAAGCACACATGGACACCTCCAGGAATTCAGAGATGACACGTCTGCCATACCAGAAGTCAGATAACTGTGCTAACATATGTGTAGCAATAACTGTGTCTCATCATTAGAAAACAGCAGCCTGGTTTCATACCTTGCAAAACCAGCACTATAAAATTATTAAGGCTGACACTGAAAGCATATGCCAGAGAAAGGGCTTGTTTCGAATTTTCATAGTGATCAATTTATATTTTAAGTGCGGATCTCATCAGTGCCTTTGCAGCTGTATCTATTAAATTGGTTACAGCAGGACAATTTTATAAAACAAAATGCATTTTTCTTCTAGAGAAATACGTAGGTGTTAAAACACTTCCTCTTTATCATCCCCATGAAGCAGTCTTTTGCTGGAAATACTATTTCCATCAGGTGAGGATTTAGGCGACATCTACAAATACCCTGAAGTTTGTGTTTGCAAACAATGCAGGAGAGGTAACTGAAGTTCCATCCACTGATTCACCAGACAGGAGGAGTTCTGTGCAGGAATCCTCTTCCAACAGCATGTGGAGTAGCAATTCAGAGAAATCTGATATATGATTTAAAACACCTGCGAAGTTCCACACAAACTTTTTCCCCAAACATTCCAAGACTGTTCCGTTCTTTGCTGGCCAAAGATTCTTCAGAAGAACTCACAGATAGTAAAAATTACATAGTCAAGCAGCTTTCTTATTCATTAAAATCACATTTAAATAGAACTGGGAGGAAAAAACCCAGCATGCAAGACATTAACATTAATTATTTTAGTTTTAATAAGGCACTAAAGTAGTTACTTTACATATTAAAGCCATACATCATAACTTGCTAATAAGGCATCTAAAGGATATTATTTTTGTTTGAAAAGCATCAATTTACCCCTCCACCAACTGTAAAATTTTGTATTAAAATACAAACTGTGTACATCTCTTTTGATACATTTTTATTATAGAACTATTGGCATTATTGTAGTACACTTTTTGGTTCCAGTCATACATGGGCAGTGATTTTTGTTCTGATTGCCTGTCAAGAATTCATCATTAACACAGGCTAACAATGGGAGGTCCTGGGAGTGAGAAGCTCAGTGGAGAAAAGTTTTAAGATCACTCAACACTTTGAAGCAATTCTTTGTTGTGGGGACATTAAGCTGTGCCCTGTGATACTGGAAGACTTTAATGGATGTATGAAAAAGATTCAAATACCTTTTCAGAGGTATCAAGTATACAAGTAAAACAGAAGACAATTGTTGGGACCCTCAGAAGGTCAATATGTTTCTACCTAACCTGTCACTCTCTCCCGGTCTCTCCCACCCACCCATACACACTTCTTTCTCTGGTTTTTTTTTCTCTATTTTCCTCTTTGCCTCTTTTACTATTAAATAAAATATATTTTTTTTTCACACCAACATTTAACCTTGTTTGGTTTTAGTCATGTTTTTGTGGGTATATTTTGAACTTTCAAAGTTCTTTCCGTTTTATATATAGCCTTAGTTTTCTTTGCTCTTCTGGGTTTAAACCGGGTTGTAACAGCCTGAAACATGATTTTGATACAGAATTAGCTAAAACCCAAAATATTTCAAACAATTGTAAAGCATGTCACTGGGTTGTTATACGCAGGGAAAAAAAATACAGATAAGAAACTATTCAAAATACCATATTGCAAATTCTAGCAAAAGCGAAAGCTTTAGAGCCTGAGGCAAACTCTATTTTTTGGTTACATTAAGAATAAAATCCCCAAACTTTGTTATGCCCTCATGAAGAAGGGGGAAGTGGCTGGTTTGTCGTGCAGCTCTCTTTAAAGAAGCCAAATTTAGACTTCGAGGTGTAACCCGCGGGGGTGGAGAGGGAATTTGTAGGAAGCAGCTTCAGCTACCCTTGCCCACAGCGCCCTTTCTCCCCGCCTCGTAATCCTCCACTCTGTACAGGAGCAGCGTCTGTCTCTACGGGGCGCAAAGAGCGGCACCCCTGCATGGAGAACCTCCAGGGGCATCTTTTGTTCCCCAGAGGCCGAGCAGCTGGAGTGTCCCCTGTGCCCAGGGAGCGCCCCATGCCAACTGCCGAGAGGGCCGGTTCTCCCGCGGGAAGCGCCCCGGCATCCCGCCCGGCCCCGGCATCCCGCCCGGCCCCGGCATCCCGCCCGGCCCCGGCATCCCGCCCGGCCCCGGCATCCCGCCCGGCCCCGGCATCCCGCCCGG